TTGTTTGATGGATTGGAAATAGGGTGGGAGAAAAGAAGAACCAAGGGGGACTCTGAGTCTCTTTCCTTGAACAGTTGCAAGGAGGGAAGACTTTTGTTTTGCTTTGTTTTTTATATGGAAAGTAGTTGGAGGGGTTCATCTTGGATTTTTAAGTACTTTTTTATTTTTGATATGATTCAATATGGCTATTTTTTATTAAAATGGAGAAGTCAAGTTGTTAATTAAGTGTTGCATAAAGTATCAGTGTATGTACATCTTAAACTTAAGTGTCACCCAATTGTTCTCCAAATTACTTAACCTATTATATATACAGAAACAATGTGTACATTGTCTAATTTTTTCATATTATTACTTTGATGGCACCATGTGTGACCTCACAATCAACTAGATTCATTAACAAGAACAATACTGGACTAAGCCCTCTGATCTTATTTTATGCTGAAGGTTCTGAATATTCATAAGCTATTGGCTGGTGGTGCAGTTGCCACATTTGCCAACCCTAGTAGTCAATAAATGGGACATATCACATTCTGACACCTTTAGAAAGAAAAAGGCATCAATGGATATTTTTGTAAATGTCACTGAGGTCATGGAAATTCCTACAGATGGAGTTGCACAGATTTGGTATGGATAATTCTATTGTTTGATTTTTGATAATGATCAAAGTCTCGCTAATGTAAACTAATTGGAGGCATTGGAGTTGCTGGGTTTTGATTATAAAAAGAAAGAATTTAATTAATTTTAACTACCCATATTCAATAAAGGTTTACAAGACTAATAATGATGACCTAATAGGCATCTTATGATCTGTTATGAATGACTGTATTTAGAGTATTAAAGCACATGTTTGGGCTATTGCTGGCTTTCACTTTTATTGCAGTAGGTGGATGTTTAAAAGTATTTTATCTTTTTTCCTTTTGTCTATATACACAATTACCTTACAATATAATCCAAATATCAGGACATGTTTGGACCATTGTCAGTAAGGGGGAACACCTTATTTGTAGTTATTTGGCAGAGCATATGCATTCGCTTTGAAAGGAACAAAACCTTTTTTTGTTTACATTGCCTATTATTAACTTACTGTAAAAAAGGGAATAACTATGAAGGGCTATGGTTTTCTTACACAGAAAAAATATTCTAGAAATTATTATGCTACTGTTGTCTTTGGAGATATTTGGTGTAGGAGTTCTATGCCTTGTGCAGTTTTAAATGTGGCAGCTCCTCTCAGCTCCATTCCTGGAGGAGGTCAGGAAGCCAGAGACAGCTAACAAGAAGCAAGGGCATGCAAAGACCTCTCACTGACCCACAGTACAGGACCAGGAGTCAGAAGATGTGAGTTGTGATGGTCTCTACGACTAAATGATCATTATCCTGTTACTTGGCATATCATTTTACAGTTGTCTTACAAGTAAGAGGTTTAAATATATAGTTGTTATAATAAAGTATTTTTGAAAGTCTGATGTGAAAATGTAAAAAAAATCAGAAGTAATTTTGAACTAAAAAGTTTCAGAATTCTTTTGTGTCTACTCACAAGTTGGGAGTGGAGAGAACAGGGAAGGTGAACATGGTTTTATGCTCTTCTGAAGTAGTGCATAAAGGATAGGAAATACTGGGACAAAATCAGAGAAATAGATGATTTCTGACATGCTTTATTAATGCAATAATTCAAATAGTTATAATTTGTATATCATTCAAACACTAGCTAAGTATAAAGCTTCAATTATTTTTACGCAGATTTTGTTCCATCAGCTTTACCTCCTTCTGCTGAGATTTTGTTACACATGCAAGAGTAAAGGGGGAAACAGAATTATTCTGCTCTATTTGCAGTCGACAGGTATCTAAGCAGGTGCTTTAGCCCACTGAGCTATCTGGCCCGCCCTTCCCTGGTGTTTCTAGACCAAGTAATTTCTATTTAAGGCACATTTAAGGATCTCTGGCCAACGGCTTTGTAGTCTCTATCCATGTGAATATAGCAATTTGTTTTCCTATTCTGAACCTAGCACAAATACAGTCATTAAAATCCTACCTCGTTTCCCTAAAATTGGGTCCCTATTTCCTGCTCTGTCGTTTGCCCTTCCAGAGCTATGGTTCTCCTTCCTCTTGTCTAACTCTCTAAGGGTCTGGTTTGTCCCGGTGCTCCAGGCGCTGCTGCGGATGGAACCCGATACCTGCTGCTGTGTTTGCCTCTGACGCATCCCTGTCTGTACACCTGAGCCCGTCTACTGACCACCAGGCACGCAGATCCTTCCCACACCCCTCCCCCGCCCAGGACAGCCACCAGCACTTTATTTATTTATTTATTTTCTTGGTGGAACTGGGGATTGAACTCAGGCCCTTGCGCTTGCCAGGGAAGTGCTTATTCTACTGAGCCATCTCCGCGGCCCCTCCACCAGCATTTTAGAGCTGCCTGTCTCTCCACTTAGCAACTTGGGCCTTTGCTTATTGCTTGCTTCAGATTGCCCTGACATCCATGCCTCTCCGTAAGTCTGGGATCCTGGGAGAAGGCGTTCCAGTTTAAAAGACTTTCCCAGTGTCTGCATGCCGGTTGCCCTGGACTGATGCAGCCTGAGCCAGATTCTAATGCCTCAGTGCAGGACCTTTTGCTTAAATGTTTTCTTCCTTCTACAAAATGTCCTTCCGAGATTTTAAGACTGTCACATGCCTTATGTGGTCAAAAGAGCTCAGTGTTCTTAGACTTGTGTTATGTATACAAATATGTGACGCAAATAACCAAGGTCTTTGAAACAGAAATGAAAAAGGAAGAAAAAGAAAAAGGCACAAACTTCAATGCGCATTTACATTTTCCCCTTTCAAATTAAAACTAAAATGAGGATACAAAAATGGTTAGCTAATTTTAAACAATGAAGCATTATATCAAAGGTTTAGTTTCAGAAAGGAATAATTTGCAATGTTCAATCACTATCTGTCATTGACTTTGGTACACTGAAAGATGACGAGAGAAAACTACTTGAGCGAATCACACTTGAGCTACCATCGAAATTAACCACTCCAGGACCCACGAGGGGAAAAAGGAGCCATACTAACTATGATTTTCAATGACCCTGAGAATTATAAAATGGTTAAGTGAATTTTTTCATACAGAAATTATGGTGTGCTCACTGAAATTGAACCTTCAATGCTAAATAAATTACTTTTTCTTATTTTTGAAAGGTTATGATATACTTGCATTGGGAATGCATTTGGAAGAGGGGTACTTTGGAAATATAGTATGTGGAACTGTATTTTATCTGAAAAGTGGTAGAACTGCTTTGCATGACATGCCAATGTATTCTTTGTTCCCCCAAATGGTGAGTTTTTAAAAATGTAAATAGAATCTAGAAGAAATAATTTCATTCCTTTTGGAAGAAAATGATAGGACAATAAAATTCTTATGGGAAACATAAATACAGACTTAAGAATGATATAATTATGTGAACATATTAAGAGGTTTTTTACTGCCCCCTGCTGTCAGTTTCAAAAAGAAATAACAGGAAAATGACTGCAAAAACTGACGGGGTGAATTAGTTAAACAAATTGGTTGGGAGAAAAAATACCTGTGTTTAATTGCACCACTTTCCAGCCAGTCATGCTAACGGTTACTTCATGCTCTGCAGGTAATGATTTGTAAAACTAAGAAACCAACACTACTAAAGTGTGTGTTAGCAACATAAGGGGAAGAGAATAGTTTGTTCTTTGTGAAATATTGTTAGTTTAAAAAATACCAGTGTTTCAATTTTTAACCAGTGAGGAAACTTTAACCATTTGGAAACTATACCATAGTTTTTTTTTTATAGTTTTCAAATTAAACTATTTTGCATTGGATTTTCAATGTGTATATAATTTAGGCAAAACATTCATTACCAATAAAAGGAAAACTGTAAACAAATCAGCAAGTGCTTGTTTCTGTGGCACACTCCTGCGCAGGATACCGCGGTTCGATCCCCGGCTCCACCTGCCTTACTAGACCTGCCCTTAAAGCAGCCTGAACCAGCAAGCCCCCCCCCCCAAAAATCCTTCTGTAACACACTCCTGAGAAAATTCTATTAGCGTTTGGCACCAAAAATGGAGAAATAAGAAATAACAAAGCTAACAGGTAATGCTAATGTAGTGACATCACTAATGAAATGTGGAGTTGTGAGAGGAAGGTCCAGAATCTGATTCTTGGTCTATACCCTTTTTGTACAGGAGAAGGTATAAAGTCAGAAGGTAAAGAGAAAAATGCCACAGAAAGTGCAGTGGGCCTGGTGCTGGGCAGCACTAAGCGCGAACACACCTGTCTTGTTGCACCTGCGCTCTGAGGTCCAGAGCCCGTGCATAAACAATGGGACCTCGGGTGCTCCCGACCTGCTTTACGTTTCCTTAGAAGAGTTCTGTCTTCTCTGGTTGCATCCCACTGGAGGTGTGCATGTGTGCTGTGTAAAGATACAGCACATGCTAAAAAGTAATACTGCATTATATGTTTTGGACTCCTTTTTTTTTTTTTTTTTTTTTTTTTTTTTCAGTACTGGGGATTGAACTCAGGACCCTGTGCTTGCCAGGGAAGAGCTTATTCTGTGGCGCTATCTCCCCAGACCCTGTACTCCTCTTATGGCTGGCTTTGACCCACTTTTTAGATGACACTCAAGGTCTCCTGATCACTTCTGACCCCCCTCAGCAGCTCACATTCAAATGTACACTTTTTTCAGTGCTTTGTACAAGTCAGCCTCACACGCCAGGTTACCCTGGTTGTTATGAAACCTATAACAGCCTCCTTGAGCTGCTCTTTGGTTGTCGTATCTTTTGATTTTGTTTTTCTGAGTTAGTAGCACAAATAATCGGTAATGACACGGAGATGGTGCCAGGGATACTGGATTTGCAAATTAAGGGGCTTTTTTCTTGCAGGCACTTGATGAAACTGTACCTCAGTGACCAAAGGACTAACTACACAGGAAGTCTTTTCTCCCCCAACCTTCAAAGAACAACAAAACCATTTGAAATTCGCAACACCAAGGTCTTACCTGACTTGAGGAGTTGGGTTCCCAGTGACTCTGCACTCCAAATGAATGCGACTTCCTTCCTCAGCTTCTTGGCTCCTCAGCTTCTGGATGAACCGAGGTGCTGAGGGGAAGTGGGGGGCCTTGGGAGGGTGCACATGAGCGGTGCTATTGCACTGTGGCCTGGGCACATCCGGGTCAGCCTGGCAGCAATGCCTGGCCTCAGGTAACTTGACTTCTGCTTCCGTCTCTTGATGGTCTCCTGTGGGGCTCTGGCTGGCCGAGGCAGTCATCATGGCTGATGGCTGATTTTTAGGAGACAGATACCCACTGTCTGGGGATGAGGACTCCCCATTTGGGCTCCTGTTTCTCGGTTTTACCCCTCTAAAGATGGATGTCAGCTCCTCAATGAAGTTAGCCGCCTTGTCACACAGCTCACTCTGGGGCCCAGCCTTGCTCTGATGTGCTGGTTTGGGCTTTGTATTTGTGTTGGGAGTTTTTGCACCCCGTTTGCCGGCCTTTCTGAGGCTCCGGATATAACTGGGCCTAGCAAACTGGGGAGACATGGCTGATTTCCTTCTTGAAATGGGTGAAGAGATCCTCTCATTTGGTTCTTCTGCTGGAGGCTTGATAGGCGTTGGTTTATGATTCTGAGGTTTTCCTGAGGAGGATTGCTTGCTCAGTTTGGTCTCCTTGTGCGAAGGATTTTCACAGCAGCTGACAGGAGAGGTGTTGAAAATCTGTGAGATCTCTTTCTCCGAGTCGAAATCCTCTGTTTCAGAGTCCGCTATGGCTCTCCGGGCCAGGTCAAGGCTCTTATTTATCTCTTCCTGGCTGAGGAAAGCGGACAGCCCCGGGAAGAAGTCAGCATTCTTACTTTCTTCCTGCATGTCTGATAAGGAATCATAGAAGGAGTCATGGGAGGAAGTTTCTGACATATCTGAATCGTCTTCATACACTCTCTGCTCTCCACAGGAAGCCCAGTGGCCCTGAATCCTGTTTTCTTCTTGTGTTCTGAAAGGCAACGTAGAATTGTTAGAAGCAATGGTTTTTCCATTACACTACAAATCTGCTAATTGAGAGAACGAATATATCAGTTTTCTCATTGCATGAGTTAGAAGAAAGAGAAAATATATATGTGTTTATCATTTATTAGCTTAATATTTCAGTGAGTATCAGGGTTATAAGTGAATATCAAGTGTCTCGCTAAGCAGTATTGAGTAATTAAAGTGAGAGATAGCTACAGCAGGTGTGATTTGTGTCGAAGGACATTCTGCGCTTCTTCTAGGCTCCTTCCCATCCACACACCTCACTAAATCTCCCGTTTCATGGATGTTAAGAGATCACCAGCTTGTTGGTATTTTTAGCACTCCTGACTTTGATTATCTGACCCTAAACCATAAAATATATTTTAATCATTCCAATGTTCATTTGCTTTTGGTCTTCAAATGAGCTATTTGTACCTTTATTGCCTTCTCCTTTTCCTGTGGCTGGTGAAGCTCATTTACGTTCATTCATTCAACATTGCTCCAATAGATAGTAAGTTCATGAAATTTCAGGTGCTGAGGGGATAGCTGTGCTCCAGACCAGGTATTTACAAACTTTCTGCTAAGGGCCAGCTAGTAAATTAATTGATTAATTAATTAAACTTTATTTTGTGGCTCTTGTAATTGCCAAACTTGCCATGGTGGTGAAAAATCAGCCACATGAATGAGCACAACCGTGTGCCAAGAAGACTTTACTTGTGGACATTGATTTTTGAGTTTTATGATAGTTTTACTATAAAAAAAATTCTTTTTTTTTTTTTTTTTGGTTTTTTAGGAAAGAGTCTACAGGGTGGTCAGGGTCTCCCTACTGGATCTGATTCATAGTGATCTGCCTGTTTATAGCCTCCTGAGAGCTGGGATTACAGGTGTGAGTCACCACACCCAGTCTCCTTTTTTGGATTTTTTTTTTTTTTACATTGTTTTTGAACTGTAAAACAAAAACACAAAAACAAATTAAAAAGAAAATCCCAAACCATTCTTAGGTTTTCACGTTGTACAAGACGTGCAGCTGGAGGGATTTGGTCCAGAAGATGAAATTTACTGACTGTTGATCCCGAATAGTGACCCAGTCCTTATGTCAGTAACATGAAGGAGATGGAAAGACATTAAACAAATGTTATAGAGATAATAGGAGAGTTTGACAGGGCTCTGAGGGGAGAGAAAAGTGTTTGGGAGCTGTGAAGGCCTAATCTAATCTTGAAGGACATGTACCAGCACTGTGTGTTTTTAAAGACATTAATATAGCAAAATCATAAAAATTAAATAAAAGGTGTTTCATTATTTATTAAACAATTGGGCATCAATTTCAATCTTATCATTCTTTGAATTAAATATCAGGAGGCAATGACCTCTCCTTGCTCCAAGGGTGCTATTATTTTATAGAATAATAGGAGAAATGATCTAGGAAACTACACAATCGATCTTTGGCTCAACATTAAGTCAAATAGTTAGTGAAAGAAGCTCCCTGGGTATGGCAAAGCTCAACTTCATAGGCTGTGTCAGGAGCAAAGGTGGTGAGTCCTTCGCTAGGACTCGTGTCTCACAGGTCTGAACTGGGGGGCCTGTTTCGAAGCAGGTTGGCATCTAGGGGACTCACTGCTTTCAAACAATAGCAAGCAAGAGTTGAAAGGGCTTCCTAGAAATCTATCTCAAAATGTACCACCACATAGGATGTCAGGATTCATAGAGTCTGTTAATTCTACCAAAGACATTTAATCAGAGATCCTAAAGTTAATATCAACCTACTGAATGTTCTTTATTTCAATGTCGTACTGTTGTCTTAGATGTCTTTTTAGAAAAATTGCTTGCTTTCTCATGCCTGAATTCCAAGTTTTTCCCATGCTAATCCTCCTCTGACTTCTAAAATATGTTTCCCACAATTTTTGTGGTAAATCTACCAGAGTGCTCTGATCATTGTTACCTTCTTTATTAAACTAAATGTTATTCTAATTCCTTGTTTTGTCTGTATTTCACTATGTAACCATCCTAGTTTTTCTCTGATTTTTAAAATAATCCCAAAATCATTTATGAGGAAAAGTTGTATTTAGTACATTTTGAATTCTTGAATATGTTTTGTTCACAGGAAACAGTTATTTAAATTATAATTTTGAAAACCCAAGCCACAGAAAATACAAACTAGTAGAAAAGGAATATGCATTCAAGATTCTATTTAACTAATTAGTGACTAGTAACATTTTACAACTAAAACTAGTAACATTTTACACACACACACACACACACACACACACACACACATATATATATGCAACTAAGGATGCTATAATAAACTCACTAGTTGATTTGTAACTGATTAATATCCATAGAGCAATAAAACATGGTATTAGAAATAATTTACACAACAATATGCTTACTGGAATAAATAATTTGTGTGTCTATGAAGAAGTTATAATTTGCATCCAAACTTTCTATAACTTACAGAGTTGTCCAATTGCCTCCTTGAAGACAATGAACACAAGGCACAGGCCCTCATAGAGTGGGGAGGCCCTGAAACGTCCGTAGGAGCCCATCCTGCATTTTATGGAAAGAACATTGTGTTGTTTTGTCTATTTAGAAGCTATTATAGTTTATTTCAGGAAGGCAGGTTTGTTCCCTCAGTACATCAGCAACCTTGGTAGCTAACATGTGAAGAAGCCAGGGTCAGGATCAGCTCCTGTCATGTGTGAAGAGATAAAAGATAGCATAAACACAAAGGACACCTGACAGTGGGAAGGGAATGATTGTTGGCCTAAAAGCATTCTTGTGTGCCTAATACAAAACATAGTATTTTCATTTCTGGAAGTTTATTTTTCCTTGGGACATGAACCACTTGTTTTATGATTGGAATTTGGTTTTGTATTGAGCTCAGTGCAGAAAGAGATTTTGTATCTACTATACCTAGAATAGAGGAAGGTGATAATCCAAGGAGATAACTTGAAACATAAATGGAAATAGGCGCACCACAGGCAAAGGGACTTATTCCAATTGTATTCACGGTGTGTCTACTACATGCCCAGCAATGTATCATGGAGTAGGACATAACTTAGGAAAGGACAAGCTTTTAGCCCTCATAGAACTTAGTCAGAGGCAGATACACCTAAGTAAGATGCACATACAACTTATTGCTTCAGGGTTATAGTGAGAAAAGAATGAAGTGCTGTGATAGCATCCAGAGGGGACAGCAGGGGAAGGGTCAGGCGAAGTGTCCTAATTAAGACTCAGGACATATGAGGACTTATACTGTAATGTCATGTAACTCAGTAGTGTCCCAAATTTTCTGATCAAGGAGATTGTGGGGCCAAAGAAGAAAGTGATCGATGATGTAGAGTGTGCCTAAAGAGAGTCACATGGAGAGAAAACATTCTCTCAGGCTTTCACAGAGAGCACATTGGCCAAGCAATGGCCATGACTCATCCACATGGCTGACACTGACAAAGATTCTACAATCTGAGGTACAGGATCTCAGGATAAATCCTGAGGGGATTTCACTGACGTTATCAGATCCAAAAGCTGCAACCTTTGTTGCATAGGTCTTGCTTTATCTTGGTCTTAATCATCCAGCAGAAAAGTATAAAAATGAAGTATAAGAAATAAAGCTGTGGTGTTATGTTGAGCTGTAGGGGACTCAGGTCAACAATTTCTGACACTGCCAGTGAAGCGGAAGACCCATTACTATTATGAACTACTGGACTCTTTTAGAATATTTTGCGGCATTAGCACACCTATAATATTCAAATGACAGAACCAAACAAATAGTGGATACAGATGAATGCCCATTTTGTATCTATGTATTCAAAATGGGTAGGATAGATATATAGTTACATTCTCTTAATGAATAGAGGGATTTGTTCTAATAATAGTGTTTGTAAATAGGATATCATGTCCGCATCTTGTACAGCAAATAACTACTAGGAAGAGAGTATGAAATGTGTTAATTATTGAAACTGTCATACCAATTTGATTTGAAACTGTCTCATTGCTATATGTCTCTCAATAAAATTATGCGAAAAAAAGAAAATGATATTTGCTGGTTGATCACATGCAGAGATGGTGCAGAGGCAGGATTATAGATTTCTTACTTTAGCAAAGTGAACATTGCCATTAAATAATGCACTGCAAGTGGAAGAATTGAGTTTTAAGGAAAAAAAATCAGCTTACTTTTGAGCTATTTGCATTTGAGAGAGCTCTGGTGTTGATATCCAGAAGGCAATCGGAGATGTTTATATTGGTCTATGGTTGGCTCCTTAAAGCACAAGAGTGAATAAGGCTTCTCACTGGGAATGAGGGAGCAAAGAAAAGAATCCTCAGAACTTTGGAGGGAAACCAAGACAGTGGTGTCATGGAAATTAGAGAAGAAAATGTCACGGGAGTGTTGGGAGTGTCACTTCTATTTTACCAACTGAGAAGATTTAGCACCATTCACAACAGCATCTCCCTGTATGCACCAGAGACTAACAAGCACACTTCTATCAGAAGGAAATATAAATTGCAAATACAGTTGATGATTTTGAGATTTAGAAAGAAAGAGAGATAGAAAGCAATAGTAGAACCAAAAGGTGGATTCTAATAGAATTTTTTTTTTTGCTTCTTTCTCTCTTGTTTTTGTTTTTCTTTTTGTTGTTGTTTTTAGGGAGAGACATATTTCTGAAGGGACACCCTTCCATTTCAAAGGAGTTAGTAGGTGGTCAGAAGCTCAAAATAAGACAACAAGGATGGCGTATAGTCCCAGTCTCCAAGGATGTGAGAAGAAATGAACTGTCATAGCACAAATGGAGTATTTGGTTTCAGGTAGGAGCAGGACAGTTCTTTCTGTTACCAGTTTAACGATAACCCACAACCGTCGGATCAACTCTTTCTGTTATCAAAAGAGAAAAGCAATAAAGGGCATACTTGTCTATGGACACATAAACATTGTGTGTGAGTGAAAGTGTGCATATGTGTGTGTGTGTGTGTGTGTGTGTGTGTGTGTGT